GCGATATGGGTGCTGATGTGGGTGCCGCTGTGGGTGGTGATGTGGGTGCTGCTGTGGGTGCTGCAGTGGGTGCCGCTGTGGGTGCTGCAGTGGGTGCTGCTGTGGGTGCTGCTGTGGGTGCTGACGTGGGTGCCGCTGTGGGTGCTGCTGTGGGTGCTGCTGTGGGTGCCGCTGTGGGTGCTGCAGTGGGTGCCGCTGTGGGTGCCGCTGTGGGTGCTGCAGTGGGTGCCGCTGTGGGTGCTGCTGTGGGTGCCGCTGTGGGTGCCGCTGTGGGTGCTGACGTGGGTGCTGCTGTGGGTGCTGCTGTGGGTGCTGCAGTGGGTGCTGCTGTGGGTGCTGACGTGTTTCCCGCCCGCAGGCTGGAGCTGCTGGCGCAGGAGTGCCGGCGCAGCGCCCAGGTGCTGCAGCAGAGCCGCGCGCAGGGCGGCCCGGAGCCGCGGAGCCGCTGGGAGCAGCGGAGCTTCAGCGCCGTCAAGTGCGGCACGGAGCCTTTGGGGCTGCTTTTGGGGTCCTCCTGCTTTGGGTTCCCTCCTCTTTTTGGGGTCTGCCCTTTTCTTTTGGGGTCTGCCCTTTTGGGGTCTGCTTTTGGGGTCCTTCTCCTTCTTTGGGATCCCCCCTCTTTTTGAGTCTGCCCTTTTCTTTTGGGGTCCCCCCTCCTCTTTGGGGTCCTCCCTCTGCTTTTGGGGTCCGCCCTGTGCTTTGGGTTCCACCTTCTTCATTTGGGGTCCTCCTCCTTTTGGGTCCTCCCCTCTTGTTTTGGGGTCCTCCCTCTTCTTTTGGGGTCTGCTTTTGGGGTCCTCCTCCTTCTTTGGGTTCCACCCTCTGCTTTTGGGGTCTGCTTTTGGGCTCCTCCCTCTAGGGGAGGAGGTTTTGGGGTCCTCTCCTCTTCTTTTGGGGTCCATCCCCTACTTTGGGGTCCTGCTCCTTCTTTGGGTTCCACTCTCTGCTTTTGGGCTCTGCCCTTTTCTTTTGGCGTCTGCTTTTGGGGTCCTCCCTCCTCATTTGGGGTCCTCCTTCTTTTGGGGTCCTCCCTCCTCATTTGGGGTCTTCTCTTCATTTGGGGTCCTTTCCTCTTCTTTTGGGGTCCATCCCCTTTTTTGGGGTCCTCCTCCTCCTTTCGGTTCCGCTCTCTGCTTTTGGGGTTTGCCCTTTTCTTTTGGGGTCTGCTTTTGGGGTCCTCCCTCCTCATTTGTGGTCCTCCTTCTTTTGGGCTCCTCCCCTCTTCTTTTGGGATCCACCTTCTTCTTTGGGGTCCTCCTTCTTCTTTCGGGGTCCTCTCCTTTTAGGGCCCCCCCTTACTTTGTGCTCCCCCCTTCGGGTCCCGCTGCCTCCTTTTGGGCTCCTCCCTTCCCCCCCTTCCCCCCCGCCCCCCTCCCACCCCCCCCTGCCCCCCCTGCCCCCCCTTTTTCACCCCTTTTTACCCCCTTTCAGGACCTTCCCCGAGCTGAGCAGCGGCGATTTGCTGCTGTGCATCGTCAGAGGCATCAACCTCCCCGCGCCGCCCGGTGAGGAGGGGGGCAGAAGGGGGGGGGGTCTTGGCTTCGGGGGTCCCTCAGCCCAGGGGGGGAGGATTTTGGGGGGGTGGGGGGGGGCGGTGGGTTTTGAGGCCGTTTTCCATCGTTTAGGGGTCGCCCCCAAGGATCTGGACGCCTTCGTGCGCTTCGAGTTCCAGCATCCCAGCGCCGACGAGGCGCAGAAGGACAGAACCGCCGCGCGGAC